CAGGGGTCAAGGTTCCAGCAGCAGCAGCAGCAGGAGGTGGTACCTTCAGAGGCAGAATCCAGGGCCACTGGGAGCTGAGGTGGATGCCCAGCAGCTGCCAGCTGCGCAGCTGAGGCAGAGCAGGAGAAGAGGAGATACCGCGGCTCCTCCTGGCTCTACCTGCTGTCTCCCGGGACGGTGGCTGGGAAGCCAGCAAGCGAGGGAGCCAGAACTGTACAGCTCCTGAGGAGAGCAGCAGAGGAAGACAGTGAGAAGAAACCAGTACTCGGAGGGCGGAACTGGAAACTGAGCCCAGGTCTCCTGACTTCTAGCACCACATGCGCCACTCAGAAATGAGTGTGCTTCGGTGACCATGGGACATCCTCACTTGGAAGACATAGGGAGGTAACAGCCAGGAGGGAACAAGCTTTGCTTACACTTGCCTTTCTTTACAGATCACCAAGACTTTCCCACAGATTACTTCACATGATACTTATAAATCTGGTAAGGTAAGCAATCCCTGTCCTATTGTATAGGGAGGGAAATGGAAGCAAGGAGGGGACTAGGGAATCTCATGGTTTCACATTTGATATGTAGCAGAGACTGGATTTTACACTACACGTATCTTACTCTAAAAGCAAAGGGCTTGTGGGAAGATAGGAAGAGATGCTAAGATGCCAGAGCTTCTGTGTCCACCCAAACCTGAAGCTGGAAGCCCAGAGGGTAACATCAAGGACACGCCATCCTTCTGCCAAAGAAGCTTCCTCCAGCTGACCCAGTACGCATTTATGGGGGGTTGGGGGAAGAATGTGGCTTAACTGCTGTCCTCAGAATGCACTGAGTTGTTCAGAGAGTGAAAAGAATTCCATCTCAGTTGTTCCTCCACAGTAGAGGCAGGGAGGTTGGGATAAAAAAAAGATCCTCTTCTGATGGATGGAAAAGCAGGCTTAGATGGCTGAAACGGCTCATCTGGTGCTCAAAGCTTGTCCTGCCCTCATGCGGCTTATGATTCAGCTGAGCTGATTTCTGAGCTGCAAGCAAAGTAGGCCTCCTGTCTTTTCAGCTGGGCCTTTCTCTGCCTAGAATGATCTTTTCTCTGAACAACTTCTCCTGGGTCAGTGACTGGGGCTCATCCTCTGAGTTCCACTCACCTCTGTTGTACTGCTGTTATTTGCTTGCTTGTCAGTGTCTTTCGTGGCTGTGAATTCCTCGATGACAAGGATGGGGTCTGAGCCCTGTCTCTCTGGGTTGTGCAGAGCAGAAGCATGGACACATGCACACCGTAGGCGTAACTGTAGTTCTCTTGGTCCTTCTCACCACCGGTCTCTGTACGGAAGGACACTTCTGCAAGCAGGGAGGAAGTGGTTGGCCAAAGAGTGTAACTGGGTTAATATAACGGGTTTGCATAAAGCTTGATCCAAGCCATCTTTTCTTTCTCAGGTAACAGGAGAGATTATACTGGGAATTAAGTTCTCTTTCTGAGACTTTGGTTTTGCTGAATGTGTAATTCCTGATCAATTAGACTAAAGTGCTTTCTCTGAACCTGCCAGCTCTGATTTTTCATTTAGCAGCAAAGCTATGAAAGCGAGTGAGGGCACAAGAAGGTGGCAAAGGGTGTCAGGAGCACGGAAGAGCTGCAGACTCATGTAAAGTCATGATGGGGACTCAACTCAGCCTGCTGCCACAGAATTGTGTTCTTCAGCAGAAGCCAGGGCAGTCTGGCTCTGAGAGTGGAAACCGCATGAGGGAAAGTGGCTTTGGTATTCTCCATGGGAAAACTGAGGCTTACAGAGGCAGAGCAACTTGTCCAAGGCACCAGGAGTCGCAGGCAGAGCCCCACTTGTCCGTTTCTTACTGTTTCCCTTCTTATACCACTAAGCACCCACCTGTGCCCAGGTCACTGTGCTCGGGCCCCTGTGGCTGTAGCCTGGCCACACTCAGCTTTGTTCCTCCAGCCACCTCCTGCTGCTGCTTCTCAGAAAGGCTGACTCTCACTGGGGGCACTGGCTGGCTCTGTCAGTCAAGGTGCACCCAACCCTGCAGCACTTCTTGGAGGCACCCAGATTCTCTCCCCTGGACTCATATGATGTGGAGACTGAAAGGTACAGAGCATGTGCACCTAGGAGGAAGGAGCTTCGGCTTTGGCTCTGTCTCCCTAGGCTCTGCTGTGGGGAGGGCAGGTTCACGTGGTCCCTCCCCAGCTGCCACCTGGGCTAGAGGGAGAGTCTGCTCTTGTCCTTCCTCACCTCTTGTCTGTAGTCAGACCTAACTTTTTCTGATTGTCATCAAAGAACTCAAAATGACCCAATCTCCTACCCAGAGTGACAGAACTCTTCTTCCAGAAGAGGGAGGAGGAAGACCCTTCCAGTGTATCTGCCCTGTGCAGTCCAATAGATGAGCAAGTTATAACTGGAGATTTTAATGGCTGTCAATTACATTAAAGAGCTGAAAAGAAACAGTAGTATTTATTCTGCACCTACATTTTATCCAAATAGCCACAAATGATTATAATTTTAGCATATAACCAGTATGAAAGTTGTGAGCGACACCCTACATTTTTTTTTTTTTTTTGTATCTGAACTCTTTGAGACCCTGTATGTATGTAATACATTTCCATTTGGTTGCCATATTTTCATTAGAAACACTTATCTGTATTAAGCTTTCATAAAATAGAGACAAGTGAATTCACATACCTAAATTGTGAGTACTTGGCAATTTTCCAACAGCTAAATCGAGTAATGGATTTTAATTTTAACTTAGATAAGATGAGCTGAAGTTGAAGATTCAGTTCCTCAGTTGAACTAGCAAGATGAGTACTCACACCCACCTGTGTTAGTGGCCACCTTTTAGGGTAGGGTGGCCTTCTACTGTGCCTCCATTGCCTCTCACATCCCATGTGGACCTCCTGCATGGGAGGGAGGAGTGATCCATGCTGCGGCCATGGTTGTCACCAATAGTGTGTCACACCTACTCTCTGGGTAGGTAAACAAATGCAGAGATTAAAGGACCTCCTTCAGGGTCATACTGTTGTAGGCAGCCAAGGTAGATAGAGATATTACAGGCAGTCAGACAGGGCCAGGCCCTCGAAGGAGACAGCACAGAAGGTAAAGATACCTTACAACTGTGGGAGGGATGGATGCTTCTGCTGTGAGCCAGACCTAAAGACCTAAAGGCCAAACAAATGCTAACCTCTCTAAAGAATAGCATCCAGGATTGATCATTACCCTAAGAAAGCCAAAAAAAAATCATTATCTGATGGCCACCAAATAAGGTCCTGTTTTACATTCATGCCCCCTTGCCTTCCCATTCGGTCCTGGACTTAATCAATTTTACCTGAGCAATGGTGTTTGTAATGTCATTGGTTGACCATAGTTTTGTCCCACCCCACATCCACCTAAGCGAGTTCTCCCTTTCTCTACCTTAGCCCCACATGGTTTTACACTATAAAAGTCCCTGGAAGAGACAGTTTCCCGGGGACAACCCGTTCAGGCCCTCTCCTGTCCCTCTCTTGGACAGGAGCTTTCTTTCCCTCAAAAAAAATATTCTGCTCATAACCTCCATTTGTTCCTAAAATTCATTCTTCGGTTTTAGAGAACACAAATTCGTGCAGGTGAGGTTCAGAGATCGTTTTTCCCTATGTTATTTAGAGGTTCTGTATATCATTTGGAGGTCACCCATTGGAGATCAGTTTTCCTCCCTGTATCAATACAACCAAAAAGGGTAGGTTTCCATTTGAACCCAGGTCTGTACAACTGGTAGCACCAGGCCAGGTTGGCTTGCTCCCACACAGGGGCGGTCCGGGCCTCAGAGCTGGGAAGCTGCTCTGCAGGGCAGGACGGTGAGGGGTCCCTCCTCTCTACTCTGGTGATTTCTCTCTCTGCAGGGATGTGAGTGGAGGGTGAATGCATGGGAAGTTCTTGCTCACTTAGGTGAGCCTGTGGTCCAGGACTGGACACACACCTGATTCGATGATTGTTGACCTGATAAAGGAGTGACCAGGTGCAGAGGAAGAGAGAATCTAGTGTTGGGTAAATGCAGCACTTGGTGCTCCTGGGCTCTGTGGCGTCTCCCAGACGTACACAGGTATCTGCTCTTCTAAGTAGGTACATTTCTTAATGCAGTCCTTGTTTTGGGTGAAGCAGGGACACAGTTTCTGTGTCTATCTCTTTTATTTTTGTCTCCTTTCCAGCACATCCCTGTGTCCTAAAAGGCAGCCGGTGACTCTGATAGAGCCTGGAAGAGCTTAGGCAGAGAGGAAATGGCTTTCTTTTCTTCTATTCAGACATGGACAAGGAAAATCACAGATGTTGTGGTGCTGAGTGTCTTTGCCTGAGCTGCTGTAACAAAGTGTCTGAGGCCGGATGACCTAAAAACAGAAACACATCATGGTTCTGGCAGCAGGAAGTCTTGAGATTAGACTGCCAACATGGTTGGAAAGGGGGTCTGGTGAGGGCTCTTCCTGGCTTGTGAAAGATCTCCCACTAATCCTGGCATGGAGACCTCACCTCCAGGCCCCCCATGAACCTGCTGAAGGTCTTGTGATTAAGCACCACTGCACAGGGGTTAGGGGTTTCAGCCTATGAATTCTGGGCCAACATAAACATCCAGTTCCTGAGGCCAGCCATTACAATCTGTGCAACAAATTTCTTTGCTGAATATTTTGTTATTAACTTTAAATTTTTTTTCCAGATACTTCTTTTCTTTAGCCTAGATTTTTGTATGTAAATATTTAAATATTTTACCATCTTATAGAACAACATTAAACTTCAAATGTAAAGACTGTTCTCTCTACTTGGCCTGTGAACTTCAGCAAGTTTCTTTACTTCCCTGTTCCTCTTTTTTCTCCTCATCTTTAAAATCTGTGAGATGGCTCAGTGGAATAAGCGCTTCCATGGCAAGCCCAAGGGTCTAAGTTCAATCCCTGGTTCCACCAAAAAAAAAATAATAATAAATAAAATAAATAAATAAATAAAATCTGTAACCCTCTATAATTCTGTGTCTTCTAAGTGGTCATAGAAATAAAATATTTCTGCTTGTGTATTATGGGAAAACATTGGTCATTTATTCACTCAAGAAAGAGGGAACAATTACTCTGTCCCAGGCCTCATCCCAGGCATTGGGTGCACACAGAGCCCACTTGCCCTAGCTGTTCACACTTAGGAGACACTGAGAAGAAAACCGAGTTACAGCAGGATGTGTGGTCTGCCCTTGTTAGGGGACATGGAAGGAACACATTTCAGGGTGCCTCTCCTGAGGTGGTTGTGAGAGAAGTCTCAGGGATGGCAGCCTGGGAGCCACTCCTGCAGGAGGGAGGGTGAAGGAAAGACAGTGTGGAGGAGGGAATGTAGACAGGCCTGTGAGGAGGGAGACAGTGGGGACCCAGGGTCATTAGCAATGGCTGCTGGGCAGGGAGTCTAGACTGCTGCTGCAAAGAGGAGGCTATGGAGGCCAGCAGGGCCCAGATCGCTGAGGTCCTGCGGATGGAGCACAATACTTGGGCTCAGCAATGCGCAGCTACTGGCAAGATGTAAGCAGACACAGGCATGGTCATACTGCATCCTGGAGCAGTAGTTCTCTGCACAGTACAGGATGACCACAGGGCAACACTGGGGTGTGAGAGCCAGTGGGACCTGCTCATGGCAAAGGAAGGTCAGGGGTCCCTGGCATGTATGTCCACAGGATGCCTCGGGGTGGGGAGCACCCAGGCAGCTTGGGTCCCAGGTAGACAATGGCAATTTTTACTAAGCAGAGGCTGCATTATCCAGGTCTTAGCAGCTCCAACGCTGTTCTGTTTGGGGGGTGTTTCCATCCCATTTAGCTTCAGAATATGTTCTATATTAAATACCATCAGTGTAATTACAGAATACGATACACTGTAATTATGCTCTATAATTACATTTTCTTCCATTAGCAGTGTGGCATTCCCACTCAATGCAGGCCCCCAGCACCCTGGACTGCAAGATCTCCAGGAGCAGGCGCAAGCCTCTCTCTGGGGCTGTCCAGTGACACAGGGGCCCTCTGGGAAGGTGTGCAGATTTGCCTAAGAACACAGCTCTCTAGGCGGCCTCCCAGGTCTGAATGACAGCATTAGCACTCATCAGCTGCGGGCCTCAAGCGCATCACTTGAGGGTTCTGGGCCTCAGTTTCTGTTTTCACAAACAAGATAATAGAGATTCCCTCCTAGAATTCCTTTGAAGCACAAATGAGATAATAGATGCTAATTACCTAGCACAATGCCTGCCGAATTGAAGCCCTCCTGCGAAGCTTAGCTGACGGGGAGAGATGACTGCCAGGCGCCTCCCCTCAGCATCCTGGTCCCAGTCTTGCCTCCAAGACCCAAGTGTTAAGGGCTTAGGAGTGTCCTTGCATAGAATCATGGAGATGTCCTGGACTCCCATTTTTCTCCCTGCCCTCATGTCAAAACCCACTTAGCTGAGGCCCACTGGGGACCAGCAACTTGCCACATTAGTCTTCACCTCAGCCATGTTGTGAAGTCCTTTTCCTTGACCAATGCTAGGGAGTGAAGTTCTTATTTTTTCAATAGGTCTCCCTTTATTGTGGAAATCACTAGCCTTCTTAGTAGTTGAGGTGAGAAGTATAGACAACATGTCTAAGAAAGGCAAGGCTTTTCCCTAGGACACCCACTGAAGATATAGAAGGTAGCCCAGTGGCTTGCTCCCTGCAGTTTCCCCCTCCCTTGGAGTCCCTTTACTTTTATTCCACAGGCTGTGTTGAGTTGCTGCCCAGTAGTACTGGTCTGCCTGCCTACAGTGTCTGCTCCTTGCAGATACCTGGTAAAACACATGCCAATCCCAACATTAAAGGCATAAGAAGGTTGGGGTGATAGCTTGGCAGTCTAAGTGCCTGTCTGGCAAGCATAAGGACCAGGGTTCGATCCTCAGTACTACATGGTGTGCTGGCTCTGTGTCATGTCATGTCAGCCACCCAAACTGGGTGTGGTGGCACATGCCTATAATTCCAGCACTAGGGAGGCTGAGACAAGAAGACCACCACAAGTCTGAGCTGCTTAGTGAGATCCTGAACCAAATAAATAAATAATAAATAAAATCTATTTAAAAAAGTATGAGGTGTAAATCCATTTGGCTCCTATCAAGGTGTGTCCATGAGCAGAAAGAATATGAGAGTGGGGAGTGGTTCTGGCTGGGATAGCTGGGGAAGGGTCAGAAACTCTGCTGAGCCCAGATAGGGAGCCAAAGAGTCAGGGCAGAAGTTTGTCACAAACCTTTATGGCTGAAGCGACCACTGAGTTTAAAGTGGTTTAGAGTTAGAGATAGAAGAAGAGGAGAGAGAGAGAAGGAGGAAAGAGGAGAGGAGACAAGAAGCAGGGAAGAGATGTAAAGTGGGTAGAAGGAGAAGAGCTGAGAGAAGGGAAGGGAAGAGAAGGGAAGAGGAGAAAGAGGAGAAAGAGGAGAGGAGAGGAGAGGAGAGGAGTGGCTGAGATAACCGAGGAGCCTGGCAAAGCAGCCATCATGAGCAGGGCTCCTATGATACCACTGGCCTCTGTCTTCCCTTCAGTCTAGTACTCTGCTTCTCCTTGCTTCCCATTCTTCAGAAGGACTCTTTGGTGGGGTAGGGAAAGTGGTCCAGCAGCCCCAAGCCCCTGTCCTCCCAGCTGGCTACCACAAGGCCAGTGTGGACCCAGAGAAGAAGTCAAAGGAGGCCTGCAGTTAGCTTAGCATGGGTTGAGGCCCTCCCTGAGCCTGTCACCAAGGCTAGAGTGGGTTTTCTCTATAGAACATAGCCTGGAGGGCTGTTCAGGGTGCACTCACCTGGTTATATGGCATCATAGCTATTTTCTTGTCCATAGAAAGACACCCACAATTTACAGAGGAGAGGTCTATTTTGGTCACAGTTTGTAGAGGTTTCAGTCCATAGCCGGCTGGCTCCAAGGCAGGGCGGCATGGCAGAGGGGCCTGACAGAAGAAAAAGAGCTCACAGTGGGCAGGAAGCAGAGAGAGATCCAGGAAACAGGCAGGACATATACTTCCAGGCCGTGCTTCCAGTGATCCACCTCTTCCCATCGAGCTTTGTCTCCATGAAAACCCACTATTGAAGTAGTGGACTACTTCAGTATCACACACCCAGGATCCAGTCACTCCACAAAGCCCTCTATGATAGAAGCCATAGCACAGGGAGAGGATTCCCCATCAGATGTGAGATTCTGGGAACAGAAGGCCATCAGAAGGGGTCCTGTGAAACCTCATCCCCAAAGGCAGGCCCCAAAAGCATTCTTTGGAGTCTAAGGAGCAGAAACAACTGTTGGGATACGGGGAAGCCTAATTCTTGGTGATAGATGAACCAAGCAGGATCAAGAGACACCTTACAAAAATAAGTTAAGGTCAAATTACAGAAGTCTTTAAGCTCTGTCTGAGAGTACATACAGAGGATTTTCCCATAACAGCTCTCTGGATAGGGAGAGAGTCACCAGCTCAAATCCCTGCCTCCGTCTCTGCCGCAACTTGACTGAACTCATGGATTTCTTTGACCACTCTATGCTTCTCTTGATTTCAGGATAGCCTGTAGTTTTGCTTTCTCCTGTGGATATAGCTTTCTCTTTACCTCCTTGAACAATCTCTTTGCTGTAGTGTTTGCTGTAGAGATCACTGCCCCTAGGAAGCCTTCCCTGATCACCACCCAGCTGGATAGATGGGTGCAGAATATCCTGCACAGTCTATCTACTTATCCATGGTATGGTTTGTGTCTGGGCATTCAACCCACTCCCAAAACCTCATGTGGTCAGAGGGGTGGGCTTTTCATTGGTGGCTGAATCTAGAGTTTGTGATCGGTTCATCATCTAGTTTTGGGAGTGGGGTGTGCTTGTTACACCCACCCTAGGTGGGTAATCTGTGTACAATACAAGGGAAAAACAGAAGCTTGCTCCTTCTTCTTGCTTGCAGGTTTTACTTTTTTCTGCCATCATGAATGGTTGCCCCTCTGCCATGAGTCACCCTGCTTTGGAGCTCGCTCTTTATGGCTTGAAATCTCTGCAAACTGTGGACTAAATAAACCTTTCCCTTTTTTTTTCTGGTACCAGGGCTCGAACATAGGACCTTGCACTTGCCAGACAGGTACTTTTTTTTCCCCACAAAGGGTGCTTTAAACAATTTATTTAACTGAAATGGACTTAACTTTGTTTCTGAAGTGACTTCCATTTATTTTGATACATCTTTTCCCCATGGTGATTTATAGGGTCTTCAAGCCAATATAAATATTTTATAAATATTTGAATTTTTGGGTATACATCTGCACAATACCTCAGCAATATCTTTCAGCAAGAAAATACTGAAGAGTAAAGACTAGACACAATTACTAGGTACAGTAATTGTACATATCTGTTCAACTAAGAAAGCCAACCTTACAACACAGGATGATTTTATTTTTACATAGGACTTAGAACACTTAAGCTGCCAATTAGGTACTGAATGGCAGAGCAACATCCCCAGTTTATGCCATGAATTCATAGGGAATAGGTTCCAACAACTTGGGTTCCTTTCCACTGGTCCTCACAAAGTGTGCTTCTCTGGGACAGGCAGGCTGGTGTTCCAGTTGAACCCAGGTACCTTTCTCTTCGGCCTCCTTCTTTTTCTGATCATTTTCCTTGACACATTTCAGAAAGCTATCACGACTTTTTGAGTGTTTAATATGCTTAATACACACATTAATCCTCTTGGCAAGTATCTTGCCCTTAACTTGCTTGTTTACAACAGTGCCAACAGCATGCCGGGTAATGTTGTAGACTCTTTCCATTTTGCCATGGTAACATTTGTGAGGCATCCTTTTTGCACAGTACCCATTCCCTTGATGTCTACAATATTACCCTTTTTGTAGATTTACATGTATGTAGCCAAAGGAACAACCCCATGTTTTCTAAAAGGCCTGGAAAACATATACCGGGTTCTTCTCCTCTTGCCCTTTGTGTTAGTCATTTTAGCAAATTACTGGAAGATGGCGGTTCTGGCCAAAAGCCAGGCAGGCACTTATGCAGCTGAGTTCTCTCTCCAGCCCCAAGCCATTCCTTCTTTAAGTTTGGGCATCAGGTATTTTGTGTTAACAACAAGAGAAAAACAACCAACATACCTTATAAGTAGCACTCATCTATTTGGTGTTCACAATGGATCAGTAGGACAGTATCCTTAGCCTCATTTTCCATGTGGAAGGAATTTGAACTTAAGTGAATTTCAGAACTTCCTCTTGTCTGCTCCCATTAGAGGATGTTATTTCCAGGAAGAACATCGTATCTGTTCAATAAGCACCAGCTGTAAATAAATGGAGGTAAATGGAGAAAAGCACATGAGAGCGTAGATGGAGCAAGAAAGGTGAGGAGATCCCTGTCCCTGGGGTCATTTGGTCAGAACCTGAGGGGATCATGCGATCCACAGCAGCACTATCTAGTTTAGGGTATGCGACTATGAGGTCTCCAAGTTTTGTGCCAACTCTAACTTTCCCTTTAGGTAAAAGAGAGAAGGGAGTTTTGAGCATAGAGACCTATTTGCCCTCATCTGTCGGGACGGTAACCCCGACAGCATCCTGTAAGGTGAGCGCAACAAGTGTGCCAGTGCGTGACTGTAACGTCCTGCAATGTAGGCTGTGGGTGGCTTTAGCACTGGGAAGGACGCACATCGTCCTGGGTCATCTGGAGGCCATCACCTTTACCTCTCAGCCTATCATCTGAGAAGTTTAGCTGCATCCGCCTGGGTTATGCAGAGCCCAGAAATATGAAATGGGCTGCCTGGAATTAGCAGGGTTTTGTGATACAATGAGAAGGTCTTGCGCTTGGAATCTGTAGAAGTGAGTTTGTGTTCTGCTTGTCCTCAAGCCTCAGTTTCCTCACCTGGTAAATGAGACTTTCAATACAACTCAGACCTTCAACTCCAGCCTCCATGAGAGGATAAAATGACATGATGTGCATTACAGCATTCGGAAGATATGAAGTGCCGCGTGTGCGGAGGAATTGTGTACTCTGGAGGCAGGAGGGGTCGGCTCTGCTCCCTCCCCTCCTGACCTCTTTCCTGAAACCTCTAAGGGATGGGGTGGGGAAAAGAAGAGAAAAGAAAAGGGCCGCACTAGGAAGAAGGAGCCATTCCCTAGAACCATAAATCCTCTCTCAGGACCTTAGACTGTAAAATTGTTATCTGAAGACTGGAGGAGATTTATTGCAAAATAAAAGCTCCCCCTCTGCTGCAGAATGCATCCTTAAAGATCTTATATATGATTTCATAAAGCTGCATGGCATCTTTTCAATTCCTTCACAGGCCAGGTGGGCCCAGAGCCCAGCATGCTGATGAAGTGGGGGCAGCTGCAGCTTAGAGGGAGAAAAATCCAATTACTCTTGTTCTTGGATAAAGGAATTCTGGGGATTCAAAACCACTGGAGCATAATTGGAATTCTAATAAACAAGGTTCTTGGGTGGGGATGGGAGTGGGGATAGAGGTGGTATGTGGGGAGACACAAGTTCCCCAGCCAGCTGTGGGAGCGGCTCCAGAAGTCTTTATCTTCAATACAGCATTTTACTGCCTAGAATTTTCCATGCGTTTGATTGTGGCCAGCTGGAGGCAAGATCTGGAAGGAAAAAAAAGCTCCCTGGCTGCACAGGACACTGAATTTTGCCATAATCTCAGCCAGAGCTCAGCATCCCTAAATCTGCCTTTGCCCCTAAAACCTGGGAGCTTTGGGCAGTGAGGGCAGAAGGTACCTAAGCATTCCTGGCACTCTCAGGATGGGAGAGGGAAGTCGGAGGGAGGAAGGCGGATGTCACCCGATGACTGGGCAGAAGCCCAGGATTTGGCTTAAAGAAGCCGAGAGAGCAGGATTTGATTTCTCTATCTTCACAGATTCACAGCTTCTCCCAGACAAATGATAGCCCAGCCTCTGCCTGCACTAGATAGTGATGGAGCAAACCCTCTCCTGAGACAGCTGCACACTCCAGGCTGCCTTGTGGGCCAGAAAGCTCCTCCTTCCCTGAAGCTGAACTTGGTTTCTGCAGTGTCAGAGGAGAGGATGGGGCAAGGAAAACTTAGGGCCCTCGACAGTGCTTACTTAAAAACATTTCTTGAACAAAGGGTCTCTGTCATTCCGTGCACACCACTATGCTTCTCTGAGACTCTGTCTTCCCATCTGTGCAGAGGGAATTATACTAGACGACGCCAGCTGGGAGTGCTGTGAGACCTGAGAGAGAATTCTCAGAAGGCATTGAGCTTAAAGCAAGCCCAACCCTAACAAGTTTACTGTTTTTAGTGGAGATGCCTTTGCTGTGAGGCTGAATGTACCCAGGGCTCTGAATGGAGAGCTAGATCCCAAGTGACAGCACTGAGAGGTGCCAGACCCCCCGAAGGTAGTGTGTGAGTGGAAGGCTGTCAGGTCAGGGAAGGGACTGAGGTGGCGTGTTGGTACCAGGCCAGTTTGTACCTGGGTGATTATTGTATCATATGCTTGCTACATGCATGGTCCCTTGTGCCTCTTCCTTCCTGCTCATCGCCACACTCTTGACGAATGTAGGGCTCTCACCATGTGCCCATCCACATTGTGTGGCTTTTCAACACCAGAATCACAACTAAAGTAAACCATTTTGTATTAATTAATTTTTTTTTTTTGAGGCAGAGTCTTGCTATATAGTTCAGGCTGGCCTTGAACTCACTTTGTAGCCCAGGCTGGTCTTGAACTTGAAATAATCCTCCTATCTCAACCTCCTAAGTGCTGGGATTATAGCTGTGTGGCACCATATCCAGCGAAACCTCTTTTTAAAATAAAGCATGCAGCCTCAGATATGTTGTTACAGTCTAAGATGCCCAGCAGGGTTTTGTGGGTGGTGATGCTTTGTGTGAAGCACCAAGAAGATGGGTCGTATGGGGGATAACTGCCTGCTCAGCCCCCTCTGCCAGCACCACGCACTTTGTTCACTTCACCACCACTGCGGTATGCTCCTTTCCTGAAGGCAGCATGGGTGTGCCATTCCTCTTGGGCTGCTCCTTGACCTGGCTTTTCGTGGGCACTCTGTAGTGCAGATTAGAGGGAGGAGGCTGGCAGGAAGCCTGTCTAGCCCAGGTTCCATGGCGCCTCTGCTCTCTGGCAATGTCCATGCCGCCTGGCTTCTGTCCGCCTCTCTGCTGTGTACCCTGTACTGCTTCCTGAGTCCTCTCACCCCCCTGAGCCAAAATGCTTTACTCTTCTACTGGGAGGATTTTATTTTTCCTTCTTTTATCCCCTGCCTTCACTCCTCAGGATAATCTTTAGTTTCTTTTTTAGTCTTTCCTCTGCTTCCCTGCTAAGCAGATTTTCCGCTTACTTATTCACGTAATAAATATTTTGAATGACACTTCCTTGCCCACTAGGGCTAGTGATGAGCAAAATAGATGAGATCCCAGGGTTTCTAGTGGTGTCTTACACTGCCACGGAGAGAGAAAATACAGAAAAATGATTTCCAGCAGAATAACAACTGTGACAAAGACATGGGGCATTAACAGGTCAGAGAACAATTCTGGGTAGAGTATGTTTTAGTTACTTTTCTCTCATTACTGAGACAAAATACCTGACACTAAAAGTTAAAGGAGGAATGGTTTATCTATCTCACAATCTGTAGAGGTTTCAGTCCATAATCAGCTGGCTCCAAGGCAGGGCAGTGTGGCAGAGAGGCAACCTTTCATGGTGGCAGAAAGCAGAAAAAGCAACAAGAGCAAAAATGCAGGGGAGACAGCAAACCTCTTTTCCTCTCTTATAAGTGGCTACCCACCCTAGGATGCGTCCTCTAGACCCTAGGAGGTAGAACTCTTGGGTCACCCAGTTAAGCTTCTAAACTTCTCAATTTGACAGAATGTATTAACATTACAGAGAGTGTGAAGAAGAATCAGGTGAGTTGAGATTTGATCAAAGACTGAGTCTGATGGAAGGCTGGGTAAAGAACAAAGAGCAGAGCAAGGGCCAAGGTCCTGAGGCAGGCGGAGCCTCCCTGCACAGCCGCCTGCACCATCAGCCCCCACAGGCTCGCTGGTCTGGTCGGAGGATTACTAGCCCTTCCTCCGGCGTTTCTGTTTTGGCTGCGCTGGGCTGGCCAGGCTACACATGCAGTTTCCGATGCTGCTGCTGCTGCTCCAAGGGCCGCACTTTGAGAACGGCTGCATCAGAGCAGCAGGGTGTCAGGGTGGCAGGCACTGAGGCATGAGACAGAAGCAGAGGCCGATTGTGTGTGGCTTCGTAAGACACTGTGGAATTAGGATTTTCTCTGAAGGAGATGGGAAGCCATAGGTTTTGGATTTTATTTTTAGTGGGAAACTGTTTGATTCCTTTTTTTTTTTTTGATAAGCAGAATATATTTATTGAGAGAAAGAAAGCTCCTGTCCGAGAGAGGGACAGGAGGGGGGCCCGAGCAGGTTGTTTCCCCTGGAAACTGTTTGTTTCTTAAGATGCTACTTACTGTGGCTGTTTCGGGGATTTCA